GGGAGGAGATGGGGATGCGAGGGTTGTGATGGGGACAGTGTGCAACAGGGACACGGGTGTGCAACGGGGACACAGGGAGGGGATGGGGACATAAGTGTGCAACAGGGACACGGGTATTTTGGGGACACGGGGTGTGCTGGGGACATGGGTGTGCAGCGGGGACACGTGTGTGCAACGGGGACATGGGTGTGCAACAGGGGCACGGGTGCAATGGCAACATGAGTGTGCGATGGGAACCCAGTGGTGGGGACGCAAGTGTGCAACAGGGACATGGGTGTGCAACAGGGACATGGGTGTGCAACAGGGACATGGGTGTGCAATATGGACATGGGCATTGGTGGGAACATGGGCGTAGAGCAAGGACATGGAGGTGTGATGGGGACATGGGTATGGGGTGGGGACATGAGCGTGCAAAGGGAGCAGATGTGCAATGGGAACATGGGCAGGCAATGGGGACATGGACACACGATGGGGACACTGGCAGGGGATGGGGACAGGGTTGTGTGTTGGGCATGCAGATGTGCAATGGGGACATGGGCATGGAATGGGGACACAGATGGGGTGGGGACACACGATGGGGACAGACAGGCAGTGGAGACCTGGGCATTGGATGGGGACACAGACATGGGATGGGGAGACATGATGAGGACACAGATATGGGACAGGGATATGGGCATAGGACAAGGACATGGGTACGGGATGGGGACATGGACATGGGATGGGGATACACAAGTCATGGGACGTGGCTGTGCCATGGGAACATGGCCATGCGATGAGGAGAGGGACACACGATGGGGACAGGGACACACGATGGGGACCCAGCCGTGTGACAGGGACCCCGCTGTGCCACACGCACATGAGGGCTGTGCCACTGCCCCCCAGCCCCGGGTTGGTGCCAGCAAAGTGACCGCTGGCTGGAGGGGACAGATAGCTCGTTCCCAGGGAGGTCACAGGGCATTTCCCGCCCATCCGCGCTTCGCCGAGCCCTGGGGCAAAGGTCTCGGTGGGGAAACTGAGGCACGGGGGGGGGGTCCCCCTCCCCCCCGCAGCTCCCTTCCTCTCCAGCACCCGCCCCGCAGGCAGGATGAAGGTTCTCCTCCTCCTCTTCCTCCTCGCCCAGCTTGGCTCCTCATCGCTGGTCCCTGGTAGGTGACGTTTTGGGGAGGGGAGGGGGTTTCAGCACCCCAAAAGTGGGTGCTGGTGGATCAGATGGAGCCCGGTCCCCCCCACAGAGAGGGAAAAGGACCCCGAGTACTGGCGGGCGCAGGCGCAGGAGACCCTGCGGGAGGCTCTGAGGCTCCAGCGCCTCAACCAGAACGTGGCCAAGAACCTCATCCTGTTCCTGGGCGACGGTGAGATGGGGGCACCCACCCCGGGGTGGGGGGCGGGGGTACCTGTGGAGGGGGGAGAGGCGGGGTAAATTGGGTGTGTGATAAAGTGGGTGCAGGGATAAACTGGGTTTGCAATAAATTGGGTGCTGAGATAAACTGGGTGCTGCAATAAACTGGGTTAGGAACAAGTTGGGTTTCCAGTCTTGTCGGTGCTGGGATGAGCTGGGTGCTGGGATAAACTGGGTTTCCAGTAAGTTGGATGCTGGGATAAATTGGGTGCTACAACAAATCAGGTTTGGAACAAGTTGGGTGCTGGGATAAACTGAGTGCTGTGATAAACTGGTTTTGGAAGAAGTTGGGTGCTGGGATAAGCTGGGTGCTGGGTTAAGCTGTCTACTGGGATAAACTGGGTTTGCAATAAATCAGGGGCTGCAAAAAGCTGGTGCTGCAATGAGCTGTGTCTGTGATAAACTGGGTGCTGCAGCAAACTCAGCTTGCCAGAAACCATGTGCTGGGATAAGCTGGGTTTGCAGTAAACTGGGTGCTGGGATAAGCCTGGTTTGTAGTGAACTGGGAGCTGGGATAACTTGGGTTTGCAATGAACTGGGTGCTGGGTTAAATCTGAGTTGCAACAAGTTGGGTGCTGGGATAGATCTGGATTGCAATAAATGGGGTGCTGGGATAAGTGGGTTTGCAGTGAACAGGGTGCTGTGGTAAGTCAGGGTTGCAATAAGTTGTGTGCTCAGATAAACTCAGTTTGTGATAAATCGGGTGCTGGAATAAATCTGGTTTGCAACCAGCTGGGAGCTGGGATGAATGGGAGGCTGCAGTGAGGTGGGTGCTGGGTCAAAGGGTGCCGTGCTGAGCCGTGCCCCGCGGTGCCGGGTACCCCAGGCATGGGAGTCTCCACCGTCACGGCTGCCCGCATCCTCAAGGGGCAGCTGCAGAACCGCCAGGGCGAGGAGAGCCTGCTGGAGATGGAGAAGTTCCCCTACGTCGCCTTGGCCAAGGTGAGCCCCCCCGGGACACCCCCCGGGAGAGGACGGGACACCCCCGCGAGGTCACAGCCGGGTGGGTGGCATCGACCGGGAGCCCGGAATGAGGTCAGGGGCGGGCGCCGGGAGCTGGGCCGGTGCCCGTGGGAACGGCCGAGAGGGGGGGCAG